TGAATCTTCTGAACTAATCAAATCCCTGCTTTGAACCGTCCCCATCCCATTTCCTTAAAAATATACAGATGAAGTGGTAACAGTGCCATAAGGGAAGCTCACTCTTAACTTTGTCCAGCTTGTAATGAAGTTACTTAAATCAGTCAATAAGAGTTTCCGTTTTTTTTTTTGACTAAAAGTTCCTTGAATGTGCTTTGTCAGAAGGTCTGTGTAAAATAATTTTCTCCAGGGGACGTACTTTTGAGGCCATTGTTCGTCTCACCTTTTCACCTTCTCTCCCGTTTCCCTCTCCTATTTCATGTCGTGTTATACTAGCTGACTGCACGGTTAAGTAGTGCACACATGTGGACAAAATCGAGATCCGGGGATCAAACATGTGCTGCTTGAAATGAGCTGATGAGACGGAAGCTGACACTTACATACCCGAAGTCGGAGGAAGCGCATTTTTTTTCCATGTACAAATGCAAACTGGATATGCTCACGCTTACACACATGTACCAATTGTGTGAATTCTAGCACTGTGGTAGCAAGTTTTACCCAAAATGCTGACGACAGCCGTCATCTCTGGCGCTGTTACAATAACAGCCTGTTGGAGGTATGCTGCTCCCTGTGTTTATAAGCTCATGTATATGTGTGTCACAAAATTCAGAGGAAGTCTCCCATCACTCAAAGGTTTTTTACTGGAAGCTGACTAGATGTTGGCCACACACACAAACACACACACACACAAAAAAAACCCTTCGGCCCCAGTTCGGGTATCCCTTTTCACCTCTCTGTCTCTTTACATTGGGTTCCATGACGGTGAGCTGGTCAAAGCCCCTTTACAAAGAGTCCGACTCGGGGAAGCTGTGCCAGTTGTTAAGGGTTTAAGTTGACAGGGAAGGGAGGTGTGTGTGTGTGTGTGTGTGTGTGTGTGTGTGTGTGTGGCGGGCAGGCAAAGGGAGGCGAAATTATCTGATTGTCTGTCTGATTGTGTGGCTGAATGTTGCTTCTGACCCAGTGTGTCAGCCCTGACATATAAAGGAGAAGCCTCCAGCGCTGTGACTACGGTAGTACAATAGACAGTGAACATGGAAACAGACCGACAGAAAATAAATAAAAGCAAAAACGAAGCAAAAATTTCTTGGGGTGAACTTGGACACAGCCTGTCTCTCCACCACCACCCAGTGTGACCGACATCTATGGGTTTAGCACTATGTGACTGTGTGGTGCTAAAATCTTCCAACATAATTTCATCACATTTCAGCAACTATGTGCAATAGTCCTCCCTTGACGAAGTTGTTCCAAGCCTAAGGCTCCGTGAACAAGCCGAATGGAGGAGAGGAATCAGTCATACCGTATAAGCCTGATATTTCCTGGTGGCACTCAAGCTGACAGATTTTGTGCAAATGTATGACATTCATGGAGAACTAAAGCCCTCCGCTGGTTGATTCTGCTTGTGTGAGCCCATGTGTGGGGATATGGATCTTTGCAGTCTGTTGACTGGGTGACCCTGCCGTAAGTGTTTGCAAACAAGCAGCATAACGGTGCAGATCACACAAGAAGCCTCAGTCACTCATGGATTCTCTGCCAGCTTCAGATGAAAGATTTTCAGATTGTACACATCACCTCAAAGCCTTGAACTGTTAATTAAAACAAACTATGTTCACAATCTGTGTTTCTAACTTACTTAGTTTGAGGATTCAAAACTATTTTTCGTGAAAATGATCATGCACGTGTATGATACTTTATCTTTTACCTGGTATTAATCCTGTGCTATGACAAGTGAAGTGAAAACATAAATAAAAGTAAACAGAACCGAGAAAGCAGATAAAACATTGAGTCTTACTCACTGCACTTCACTGTTGTTTTTGCAGCTTAGAAAATGATCAGACTAATTAAAAATTCCTCTTCAGGAATTAATTATCGAAAGAGTTACTCTGCCTCTACCGCAGTTTGAATCTCGGTGTGTGTGAGACAGATAAAGAAAAAGAAAGAAACACTTATTTGTGGGAGACACTGGTCTGTGTGTTTCACACATGTTTTGACAGTTCTGCAAGCTAATCCCTATTGTTGCTTTGCGAGGCTGGGATGTGTGTGTGTGTGGTGAGGAGGTGGGGGTTTACTCAAAACCTGTTACTGCATGGATAAAGCCTTTGCACGGCCTCCTCCTCCACTACTGATACATTCACTTTTTGTGCACTGTAGTTACATAGCTTCACATATGTGTGTCTGCTGTGAGCTTCCAATCTGTATACTTTCTGCTCATTGCAATTAAAAAATGCAAAATGGAGCCATTCTGTATGGTATCAGAAAACATTTCAGTGGGTTGTTGTGCTTTAGTTTGCTTGACTGATTTGAATAAAACTGAAATAACAGATGACTGAGCTTTGCTTTCTGATAGTTTCTGTCAAGTGAGCACAAGTTCCGTCAGAGAAAGACGTGCAACATGCTGCTGTGTCTGTTGTCTGTCACCGTCATCGCCTCCATCTTCTTGTGTGGTTTGGAATTCAAACTCTGCTTGGAGGGCATATCTGTGAGACTGGCCACCTCACCCACACCCTCCAGCCTTTCCTCTTTAGAATCTCCCTGACACACACACACACACACACACACACACACACACACACAACCACCCATACCCACTACAACCATCTCCAAACACATACACTCACTCATACAATTGCTGAGACACTCTTTTCAAACCATGCTAAACCTTTAGGCCCAACAATACAGGCTGGACCTAATCTTATAACCCCCGTCCAATCAGAGGGCTGGAAACTGAAGAGTGGAATTGATTGGCTGGTGGCCACAGGGGCCAGTTAGGGGAAGCAGAACAAGAGGAGACAACCATTGTTGATTGATTACCATGAAAGACACTTTTGTTGCTGACTTGAAGGCAGGACACTGTGCCTGTATCAGGAGGAAACGCTAGCAGTCTTAAAATAGGTCAGCGCTGCACTAACGTGTACAAGATACTTCTCTGAGATAGCGAGGTGTGCACAAGACAGCCTCACCGCCCCTCCATGGAAGAGTAAGGTCCAGAGATTATTAGCAGAGAGTAATATTGATTAGCTGCAGTGCAAAGGTTAGCTGAGCGGTCTCTATCTGTGAATAACAGAGCGCTTTGAAGGGAGAAAATCAGGAGCAGAGCGGTGGGAGAGAAGAAGTGAGGAAATATAGTCAATAAGCCTTGGCTATAAACTTATCAAAAGCAAAACAGTGCTTCATATCCATTCAACAATGCTTTTAGTCATGATGACAGCATTTTTTGGGTGACTTCAGCTAATCGCCATCTCATCTTTCCACATTATGGATTATGAAAACTGCTCCAAGAGAAGACTGAGCTTGCTTGGTCTGCTGCCAGCTTCTCGATTCCCAGAAAAATCACTCCGCGGTGTCGGCACACACCAATAAATCAACGGAGATTTGAACTGTAGCTCGAAAAGATAAGGCTGAAACATGTTTAGCTCAGTTCTCAAATGAAAAAAAAAAGTATTAGATGGTGTGGTAATCTTATTCACAATTCCCTGGCTTTGGAGCAAAGTCAAAGTGTGGTCAAGATGCTATAAAATTATATGAGCTCTTGGATAATGTGGACGTGAGGATTTTATTGATGTGCCTGGTTTTCTGATATTAAACCACATTTTTTATCTATTTGATTTCATTTTATTGAATTAGGTTTATGGACTAACTGCTGTTTCTGGAATTTTATCTTTGCTACAGGCAAAGAACAATACAGTCCCTGACTCTCATCCAAGTACACCTCCAACTGTTTGCAAAACACACACACACAGACACACACACCACACACACACATGCTTTCCTACTCTCCCTGTTTGTACTGCCACATACAGATAATGATAATAATCCAAAATCACATGTACTTCATCTTAGTGTCGGCGGTATCCAGCTGCAGGACGATCCATACTCTGTCCCGGTATATCACGATGAAATGTCAGCATGCACCAGCAAACAAGCACTTTAAAATCATTTGTATGAGCCTGCATTTACATGTACAGTCCATTCACATGAAGAAAAGCATTAAAGCGTGACGCAGATCAAATGCCAGATGCAAGAACACCCTCCGTGTGAGCCACCGATCCCACATCCTGTTCACAATGCTACAGGCTTTTGAATCTGAATGCGAGCCTTCTAGTGAATTTGCTCCAAAGATGAAGGCCCTCACTGTGTCAGTGGCACTGATAGAAAGAGACAGAGGGGCAGCGTGCCTCTATTCACAGCCAACATACACATTAGCATAACTCCCATAGTGCGAGTAAACCACCTATAGCCACCTGTATCTGCGCAACCCACACTCAACGGGGTCGCCTCTCCCACGCTGCAGCGCTTTCCCACCCACTTCATTCACTTTCTCCCTTCAGGATTTGTTTTGCATTTACAGTTGTGCTCGTGAATGTGTACGCGCGGGTGCGTTTTCTCACTGGTCGATGCCAGCAGAAACCTGCTGCCAGACTGTTTTGAGCTAATGAAGTGAGCAGGCTTGAATGGTAAGCAGGCATCCTTTGTTACGTGTGGAGCAATCTGCAGGGAGCTCGCTAAGTCTCTGATGAGTAAATGTAAGAGGGGTAGGAAGTTTAGAGATGTTTGACAAAAACAACACGACTAAGACGATGACAACATCTGCTGGGTGTGTTTATAACCAAAGAATCTTGGGCACATTCGAGAGATGAATATAAAAATGCAGCTTGAGAATTTTGCCGTAGGTCGCTCTCTCTCTCTCTCTAACTCTCTCTCTCTCTCCTGTTAACTTGTTCTAGAGGAGGGGTTTTGTTGAGAATAAGGGGCAGAAGGAGTGTCCTGAAGGCCGGTGGGAGCCTCCCCCCGGAGTTGTGATTGGCTGAGGCTGTTGTGAGTGAGTCCAGGGGAGGCCAGTAGGAAGGTGAATGGTCTGGGAGCCTGCTAGGGGGCAGGCAGCTGAGGAGAGCAGCCACCACTGCCTCTTAAAACCTAGGTACTCTTCATTACAGCTACAGACTGATAGACAGAGAGCAGGGGAGGGCTGGAGACACTTCTGAGAGAGGGCAAAGGGAAGGAGAGTGAGAAATTGTGAACAGGGAAAGTTAGAAAAATCAGAAGTCCTACTCGTGTGCTCACCCTGCCCTGACTGCTGCCTCCCCACTCCACTACCTGAGGCACACATACACAAACACACAGGGAGGTGTTTCAGGGAGGCTTAGAGGGCTGTCTCTCCAGGGAAGAAGGGAATTAAACACTTTTGTTTTCAATCCGCTGCATCCATACTCAGGAGAAAAAAAAGGGATTACAGCTTGTACGCCTGCCCCACTTGTTCCTCTCTTCTCCCAGCATTTTGTCTTCACTGAGTCACTTTGGAGACTTTGGATACAACCTTCTTGAATTGTTGGTCTGAACTCAGAGAGGCATGGCACACGGACAAAAGAGCCCCAGGTGGGCATTAACCCAGGGCTCCTTCAGCTTGGCACTGGGCCTGTCGCTCTTCTCCCTCCTCCTCCTCCTCCTCACCGTCTCGGCCGCAGATGAGTACGACTACTACAGCTGGCAGTCAGACAACTTCCACAATGGCCGCTTTTACACCAAGCAGCCCCAGTGTGTGGACATACCAGCTGACCTGCGCCTGTGCCACAATGTGGGCTACAAGAAGATGAGGCTGCCCAACCTCCTGGACCATGAGACCATGCCAGAAGTCAAGCAGCAGGCGGGCAGCTGGGTGCCCCTCCTGGCCAAACGGTGCCACGCTGACACGCAGGTCTTCCTGTGCTCGCTGTTTGCACCGGTGTGTCTGGACAGGCCCATCTATCCCTGCCGCTCGCTTTGCGAGGCTGTCAGGGACAGCTGTGCTCCGGTGATGGAGACCTACGGCTTCCCCTGGCCAGAGATGCTGACCTGCGACAAGTTCCCCATTGATAACGACCTTTGCATCCCCATGCAGTTCACCGGGAACCACGCAACCCTGCCACCAGGTAAGACAGCTGTGTGCATATACTCATCCAAGCCAATCCTCACACAAATGCATCTACACACGTACAGGTTAAAAGTTCCCAACAGTGGAAAAACTTTAATTTGCTCTTGAAGGAGTTACTGATGGTGATAGCAGCTGGTAAAATGTTTTTCTGGCAACACTTTGCACAAACCGTTACTTCAATGTCCTCTCTTAATTCATAATATCACATGACAGGCTCAGCAGCCAGTGTAATAAATCAATAAATATGACTTCAATGAAGGTTTGAAAATCTTCTCAGCATAAAAAGGCATGCTGTGGCTTGTAATATTGATTGACTGTCTGATTGAATAATCTGTCTCAAACATGTTTTATACTGTGTGACATATATGAGCAATTACCTTGAACTGAACATGTGTAAAAAAGATAAAATAATTAGAAAAATATCTGAACATTACTTTGACATGTGCAGACACAAATGCTGAGATAAAACTCCATCAAAAGAGAATAAATCCACCTTTTCCTGCAGTGCAACTTTCAGGACTTTGATTTATTTCACCAACAACACTATTTAAACAGCTGAGTGTCAAAACCCTGCAGAGTCAGACACAGTAAGAGTCTGTGAACTGAGAGGTTCATATGTTTTCCTGCACTGCAGTTATGACACATGGAAGTTTAAGTGAGAGACTGTCCAGAGGAGGTCAGCGAGAGAAACAGGAGCAGGTCGAGGCTACAGGGGAAAAGTTCTCCAGTAAGTGGACAGTTTAGGACGGCTCCTTTCCGTCCACATACGCCTCAGGGAGGGACAGAAACAGACTGACAGAGACAGGGAGACTGAGAGACTCCAGCAGCCAGATCGCTCCCTGAGTTAAGATAAATGGGCTGTGATGTTAAACACATCTTAACTGAAAAGGTAACACACGCGCACATGCATGCACGCACAGATTTATCAGTAGACGTCCATCAGCAGCTGATCAATCAGCCTAGTGGAGGAAGAATGTTTTATTTCAGTGCGTGCAACTCACAAGACGGTCTGCAGAGTGTCAGCAAATGACAAAATCAATACGAGATGGATGAAATAAGAGGAAAAATACAATAACTAAAGTTTCTGAGAGAGTTTCATTCACACCAAAAAGATATAGAAATATATATATATTGTCACGGGCGATGAGTGAGAAGGGTGACAGATGGGCCAATAGAGAGCTTTGAGAGAGTGAGTGGGAACTAAATAGGTAGAAATAGGTGTGTAGATCTGACCCTGTGTGTGTGTATGTGTGTGTGTGTGCACCATGGCTACTTAAGCAGCCTCTTCACAAAAGCAGTCAGCGCTCACGAGGAGAGAGAGGGAGTTGATGAGAGTCTTTAGACAGTGGAGGGGGACAGTCCCCACTGTGTCCCAGTCTGCTCGGGCCATTGTTGGGTCTGGCAGCCAGCAGGCCAATTAGCTAGAAGGCCAATTACTGAGCTCCCACTAATTAGTCGACATGACAGGACAAGAGACGCAGGCAGAGAATGGGAATCGCTAAAGTCTGATTGTCCCTGAGAGAGCCCAATGCAGAGGAGTGAAAGGAGAGGGAAGCGGGAGAGTAAAGAGAGGCAGACAGCGCATAAAAGAGGAGAAAAGCTGCTTCCTGCAGAATAAGAAGCGTCCGCCTCTCTGCTTTCAATAAAGACTCCAAGAAAACGGTTTATTATTCACATTACTCCACTACTCGCCATTAACCATTTATTGCCAAATCTGCCTTGGTTGTTCCTGTTTCTGCATGTTAGCATTTCATTTCTTTACTTGAGCTGTTCTTGGATGGATAGACTGATTTCCTGAAGCACTGAAGCGAATGCCAATAATGCCAAAACCATCGTTCTAGTCCTGTCAGTCTGTTGTCTTTGCTTTTTTTTATCAACATTGGTCACAGCTTACTGACATCTGTCCATCTATCATCATTTTTTTAAAAAGTGGGAATAGTTTGTTGGAAGATTCTCGGGTGAATAAACGCAGAACCGACTTGTTCCATTAGGGAAACACTTTGTTCTGTTTTTGTAGGACTGGTATCAACTATGTGACATTTTGGGTTTGCAGAGCCATAATTCATTCTTTTTCATGCTCACTGAGAAGGAGGCAGCTTAAACTCCATTTATCACATCCTCAAACGGGCAAGTGTTTGTTGATTCTATCTAATCAAATAATGATCTGAGATCAGAGAAAGTGGCGCGACATCAATGCAAATGTGTCGAGGGATCTTTGTTATTAAGCAATTTTAGGCAGACTAAAAAAAGACTAAATCAAGTTTTAAAGAATCTGATGACAAAAAAAATCAAAAATATAACAATGCTGAAGTTTAAAAATTGCATTTTTGTTTTTGTATGTGCATATGTGTGTGTGTCCATGTGTGTGAGTGTGTGTTTTTGAAACTGAGAGTGAACCCATATCACTTCTAGCCCGAAGGCACAGTTACTGACATTTTGCTACGAACCAGAGATTCTCAGATGTGCCGATGAGGCCATCCTAAGGACAAGCTTTTGGCTCTAAAACACACACACACACACAGACAAACACACACACACACACACACACACACACACACAAAGCAGCCAGCAATAATAAAGAGGAATTTCAACTAAGAACTCTTAGAAGTGGGTTTCCTGGGAACCCTGTGTGTTCATTGGAGGACACTGACGGTTCTCTTTACACGGGATCATATGAAGACTCGTGCGGTAATCCTGGTGAATGTTGTTGAGTTCGATCAATCACGGGCATGAAGCCCCGCTCTACCTGCTGCTCTCCCCATCCAAGAGGCCCCGATGCTATCTGAGCTATTCTGCAATTACATGGCATAGCACGGTTCGAGGACTCCTGTGGAAACTAACAGTACAGAGTTAGATTCACTTTCCACCTCTCTGTCACAGCCAAAACTGAGAGGAACTCCACCACCACCTGAGCTCAGGTTGTGCGTATAGATGATTTTTTGGCATGTGTGTATGTGTGTGTGCATTCATGCTGTTGGCGCTTGTGCCTGTGTGTGTTTCAGGAGCCCATGGGGTGTGATTAGGTTGAAACACAAGTCTGTATATTATACCGGGGAAGACAAGCAGACTGCTGACAAAAGAGTGCCGAGGCATCCCGGGAGCAGAAAAGGCCAGCTGAGTTCAGGCTGTCAGGCCGAGCAGAGTTAATGCCAACCCACCCACTCCACCTTATGGTTTTAATGATGCTACCTTTAGCTACTGTCAGTATCCGTAAATCAACAGCTACGATAATAAGAGCCTGTGGTGGACTCTATAACCTAAACTGCACAAAAGATAATATGCATGTTGTCCAGTGAAAGTCTATGAAATTGCATGGTGTGAAGGATATTGTCTCTGTTCTCGCCGCACTTGGTGATGTGACCAGTGTAAGTTACAACCATGCTAAAGGAGACAGGCAGCACTGTCAGGTCCAGAGCAGCACAATGGGCACTACTCATGTGGCCCTGGCTGCTATATGAAAAGGAAATTGTGATCCAATGCTCTGTGCATGGAAGACTGCCGAGGCCTTTTGAGAATGTATTTTCTCTTCTGTATAGGATTCCTACAGAGGCAAGCAGCGTGCTGCGTTTTAGGGGGCCCCTCGGGGCTGCCTGTGGACCATGTTTAAGTCCTCCTCTGTCCGTCTGCATGCTGCATTTAAACAGATGTTAGGCCCTCCGACGTAAATCACACGCCGCATTTCATCTGCGGCACAGTACCGTTTTATGTCATAAGTGTTGCTGCTCATAACTTAAAAGCTCCAAATGAGGCATGAGATAGTGACCTGTGCATACTTTAAATTGAACGCTCTTCCCATAAAAGTCACCGTGATGCTCAGGCTGCAAGAGAAGACGTACAAGACATGTCAGGGACTCGGATGACGATGCTCTTGGATCAGGTTGTCTTTGGTGTGAAGATACATGTGTGTCTTTGAGAGAGTGCAAAAGGAAAAAAAAAAAAAAAAAGAGCGAACAGAAGCATGTAACTTTGCACTGCAACTAAAACTTCGCCCAAGTGGAAAATTGATTTCAAGCAAATTTGTGAAGTGTTGCCAACATAAAATATGATTTACAGCGTTTGTGTTTCCAACTGCATGTTTGAAATAAATTAAGGAGATTCTTAAATGTCACATAAATGACAAATGGAGTCCTTCGAGAGTTGAGGTGTTGTTGCAGTTTTAGTGATTTAGTGATGACCACAATTTATGTCGTGTGTTTATACAAAATTAATTTAATGCAGTAAGCAATTTCCTACTGCACCAGCTAATTACCTCAAAATGATGATCTCATCACTGTGGTCACAGAGGATAAATATTATTTTACATTCGTCCACAATGGCACTTCTTCGTGCATCCTTCTTTTCCGAAATTACTTTACAAATGGCTTTTCACATCAAAAAAGATTAGTATGTTTTTGTTGGAGATTTCGTTTGGGATTTTGTTGCATTTTGTTATTCAGGCTGCCCAAGTTGTTAAAAATTACTTTGGTGGAACTCCAGGTTATATGTAAAACAGGAGAAGAAAGACAGTGAGAGGGGGGGACGGGAAACAAAAGACACAGCAGGGGCAGAGAGACTGAAATGGAGAAAGTGATATTAACCTCGGAGCTATGACTAAGTGAAGTTGTGCAGTTAAATTGTTGGACTCTTGCCGTATACCATTTCCACTCTGGCTTTCTGTTTAAAGATTAACAACAGGGTTTTCCAACAGACCACCTCCTTACTCACCCTGCACCCATCATCCTTTTCCTCTTATCCTTAATCATCGACTCCCAGCCTCCTCATGCTCCACAACAATAGCTCTGTAAGACAACAACATTCGTCACAATGATAGGGAACATTAAAGTTTCTGTAATTAAGTTTATAACCCAGCGTGCAAAAGCCAAAAGAAGCACACAAGAGGCCAAGTCCAAAATCAACCAGAGCAAGAACACCATTTTCACAATTTAATCCCATGGCAAAAAAAAACCCCAAAAAAAAAATCACCTGCTTTGAAATGATGGTAAAAAATACATTAATGATCTAATGTCAAAATATTTGCTGAGTAGAAATGTGTCCAGGAAAGAAAAACACAGAGCCACGCAGCGGTGACTCCCAGCAGAACATGACGGTGATTCCCCCGGCAGAGACCAGAGATGAGGGCAGTCGTTGCTTAAGTGATTTCTCAGCGGCATCCAAATGGCGGTTTTGGGTCCAAGCTCAACTAAGTTTCATGGAGGGACTGCTTTCTCCTGACACATGCTCTGGCATTAACACGACCGGGCCTCCTGCCAACATACCACCTCTGTGAAACCAGAATGAATTACCACGGAGTCTGCATTAGACGGAGCAGCTTCGAGGGAATCATTCAAAACAGACAAATCCAGAGAAGTTTTCTTTTCTCTTGATGTGTGTGTGTGTGTGTGTGTGTGTGTGTGTGTGTGAGTGTGTGTGTGTGTGTGTGTCCATGCTCCTGTCCCAGTCTTCATGTCAGCACCAGACAATTAGAGGCCTGACCCTGTAGGGCCTCGCAGGTCTCCTGCCTGTGAAAGCATGGGAACCCTCGGAGGAGAAAAAACTGGCAGCTACTCTACAAGAACATGGTTCAACTACCTCTGACACACACACACACACATATATATACATACACTCAGCAGTGGTTAGGGGGTTCACCTCCCCACGACCCAAGCAGCGAAGCATGCTGAACTTTGACCCCTCTCATTATCTGGCCAGACGCTGAGGTTTGGGCTGGGGTGATAACCTCTGAACCCTGACTTTTAACCCAGGAGCTGCACTGTGCGAAGTGTGTGTTTGTGATCGGGAGTCACAGAGGAAAAGAGAGAGAACAGGGAGCTCTTGGGGGGGGAGAATATATTTTGGATATTGTGGTGAGTGAATGACAGAAAAATTTAGCTCTTCTATAAGCAGTCGTCCTGGAAAAAGGCTGCTTACTCAGCAAAGGCTCGGTGCTGTTTTCCCTTCAGACGAGTCGTCTCTAATCGTATTTGCCCTGTAGGTGCATATATGTGGTGTGGGGAAGATTTCTATACCACATCCTTCTCTCCCTTCTGACCCTTTCTAATATTATACCCTGTTCCCTCGCTTGGCCCGGGGCTCTGTTCTGTGAACTGATATTAGATGTGTACGGCTGTAAGTAGCCTCTTCTGGATTACATAGAGTTTGTGTGGTAATTGACATATTAAAGATTTATATTGAAGAGGCTTTAGAGAAAATGACCTGGTTTTGTGTGTGTGTGTGTATGTGTGTGAAAGATGAAACTTGAAGCCTCTGACAGAAAGATATATAACTGGCATAGGTGAGAACGACTATTTTAATCAGTAAACAGGGATAATTAATCACGTTTCCGAGCATGTTTTGCCAGTTCTTAGCTATGCACATGTGGAAGTATAGACACAAGTCAGATTTTGGCAGTAAGCAAAACTTTAAAAAAGTTGAAAGTAAATGCTTCATGTAGGGTCCTCTCTCTAATTGTCTATCTGCACTGTGTGGGTGCACAACAGCAACAATCACAAAGTCCCATATCAAAGTTAGTGAGGCTAAACACGCTCTTGAGCAAAGCACGCGTGACCATAAATTTTGAGTTAAAAATAAACGGAACTTGTTGCTTCGGTTTCCCCTCGCTGTTTCACAATGTGTGGTTGCTGTGTGGCCTGAGCGCTGGCTGCGTCTGTGTACTGAATCACTTTTCACCATGTTCAGCAGCTCCTGCCACAGCGTTTACCTTTCTGCACGGCCAAGACCACGCCTGTACCACCAAAATATACAACGGCCAGAATAAAAAACATTTTCTCCGGTGTAATTGCAGGGCAAACATCAGTCAGTCTGCTGGCCTGTGTATTCGCTCCGCAGCAAATAGCCTCTGACAAGAGGAGGGCGGCTGCAAATAAGTGCCTCAAAAGTGCTCAGGGCTTAACGATTTCATACCGACACGGCTTTGGTTTTTGCTCAGTGCACTTGACTAACACGGGGTTCCTGCAGCTCTCAATAAGTTCAATTTAAGACTTTTTAAAAGATGCTTTGAAGACAACCTGTAATTCCAACTGTAAAGTGCTTATTTTCTCCAGGACTACCGTGTGTAAAGTCCTGAGCACCTCCGCTTTTAATGTTGGCGTCGATCCAAACACAGTCTGGAGGGCGCTTACCAGAGCTGGAGGAAATCATGTTAAAGTGTAAAGTGAGACCAGATCTGAGACGCTCCCTTTGAATGTGAAAACAGAACAATATTGGGTAATGGCAGGTGTTTGTTGGAGGCTTTATATGGTGACTTTATGGTGTTCTGACTTCCAGCGCAACTCTAGTGGATTCATACCCAAAGTTCTTAAGTTGATTCTCTTCTTGTAAAAGGTGTGTATGGTTTAGAATTTGTTATTTTCAACAGGCTTCAACCTACATGCACTGTTCTCAAGGCAGACAACATCAAACTTGCACTTGGTTACCTGAAACAATTTTAACCCGTCACCCCTAGATGTTGTAACACCACTAACTGTTTGTGCTCCTATGAACTGACCGGGCTGCACTGTTTGCATTAGTGGTTCTGTTCTTGTTACATTTTATGTTACAAAACGATGAAGACACTTTCTCTCAAAAATACATTTCAGATTAAAACTGAAGTTAATACAAGCCAAACAAAAATAATTTCAAAACCTGTCAAAATCGCGTTTAAGCCATCCTCATTGGATTTTAGACAGAAACCCTGTACACAGTACTCTGCAGCCCAAAGACCTATTTCGTTCTTGTTTGTGTGGTGAACGTTTCCGGACACACAGGGCTGTTCTATTAGCTGGGCTTGATCTTCTTTAGCCACGCTACGCTGAGCCAGACTGTCTATACAGGAAGTGCTCGGGCACAGTATTGCTGCACACAAACCCTGCAGATTTGCAAGTCTGAAAACTGTTAGATGCACTGTATGCTGGATTTCTAAAAACCAAAGCTTTATATACTTCGAGAGCGCAAATGAGGATGGATGAGGAGAAGAAGGGCAAAAGCAAGAGAGAAACTCCACATGCAGGAATGAGAAAAGATGAAGGAAGAAAAATGAAATTGGTTCAGAACTAATCCAGGAGTCAGCTGATATCATCGCTCTTTATTTTAACGCTACATTTAGAAAACAGACAGTCATAGAAGATAGGCTCCTGATATGACCAATTATTTTTCTTTTTTTTTGGGTTGTCTCTGTTTTTTTCTTCACAGATCAGAGGCTGTGTCCTAATTACATGCTACATGCACATGTTGCTGCAGCTTATGTATTAATGCACACTGCTTTTGCATTAAAATGCAGCAATATACATACTGCAGCATCTAACAAACGACTATTCTTCAGCTTTTGTGGTGTTTTGCTTGTTAAAATGAGTCGGTGGAAAGCAAGCATAACTCAAAGCACTTCTAATGTCCAGTAGCAACTGCTTCAATTACTATTTTTTTAATGATGAATTATGAAGGTGTCTGCAGAGGGGCCACCCGCAAACTCGGGGGGGATGATGAAATTTATGTCATGCTTACCCTTGCGGACACGAGGCTGTGGTGAAGATTAGTTTCTCAGTGTTATTAGGCTCATAAGGAATTCTGTGCCATCAGATTATCACATTAAATGAGAAACCATCCCCCTCACATCGCTAAGTTTTTACCTGGCTGACACAGAAACACAAGGACTGAGTAAAAAGTGAATAAATCTGCTGACTGCCTGCTGCCATTATGTTTTGTCTCCTCAGTGTCGAAGGTTTGCCCGCCATGTGACAATGAGCTGAAAGCAGACAACATCATGGAGCATTACTGCGCCAGTGACTTTGGTAAGTAAGAGAAAAGAAAAAAGAGTAAGACCAGCATATCTACGTATTGACACCAATGCACAGCTTGTTAAGAACCTGCTGTCAGCTAAACTTGAATTTAAATGAGTTTGTTCGTGAATGACAAGTCAGCAGTAACAGTGTTAACGAAATGTTTCACCACAGGCTTGATGTAGAATTATAAGCCTGATTTCTTACAGATTCTTGGGGTCGATGCCAATGAATTTCTGATTTTGGTATACATACATGTACATATGCATTCAGTATGTTAGAGTTATACTGAAAAGGGAATATTAAAGGTTTTTCACTTTCTAGCCATGTATTTCACAAATTGTCTACCAATTTCACATAAAGACACTACTTGACTCCGTACCACCATCTGTTCAGCTGTGACCTGTGCTCTGCTACATGTGCTGCACTACTGAGAATATTGTAAACAATGGAGTCCAAGCTGCTCTGCTGGACAAACCGCAAAATCACCGCTGATATTGTACATGGCACAAACTTGCTTATTTAAAATTTGGAACAAGATTCACTTTAAATTTTTTCTTTACACACACATATTCTTTGTTTCACGTTGCGTCTTCTTTCTCTTCTGTTTAATCTCGTAATTACAGCAGTATTCGTCAAGAGTGGCCAAAATTTAGACAAAGAACAGGTAGCAGCCCATGTTGGACGAGTCCCCTCTGCTAGCGTAACCCTTTTCTTCTCATGAACTTATGAATTAATTTAATAACCTCTTGTTCACAAAGTCCATTCAACACCATTTTCTAAACTTTTTACTTTCCAGCATTCCTGTTTCACCACAGTAATGACCCGCACATTAAGCCAGACCATAATTATTCCATTATTTCTGCTCATCCAGGCTTTTGGCCCGTCATACTCCACAGCAGCTGAATTTCTGCTTGCATGGACTATTGCCCCAGTGTTTAGAGTTAATGATATACTGCTCTCCATTTTCTCTGGCCGTAAGAATCTGAGTGCTAAACTAGACACAGTGACAAAAACAGCACAACCTTGGGTGACTTGTGAAGAGCAACGCTTACGTTTCTGAACAGATTAGCGAGAAGAATGCAATTGAAAATGAAATGTGGCAACACTGACACTGAAACCTATGTTGTAGTGTCCCACAGGGAAGACGTTTTGTAATGTATCACAATTAACCACACCTACAAAACGGCCTGAGTATACAGAGCATGACCCATTATAAATAACACAGTAAATTAACGCTCAACACATCGCATCCAGCAATAACAAAGCACGTCTCTGTGCACCTTGCTCACACTCTGTGCTGCAGCCAAAGCTGAGGCTCATCCCTATAATTAATCATGACATTACCAAATCACAGATATTTATTTGTCTGATTAATTGCTAGATTACATATCTCAATCTTTTAACATGCGGGTGTTTCGGGGATTAGAAAGCAAAACACAGAGTCTTTCAGTTCATTAGAAAGAAATATGATTAAATGGGAAAACAGATAGTCAAGCATAGACAGACATTTTATTGGCTAAGAATGTATGTGACTGGATGAAACAGAACAAGAGAGAACAACTTGAGAGGGCAAGATAACTGTGACTTATGGATTCAGAGATCAAGGCAAGAATAGCTCGACAATGTTATTCTGTAGGGCGATAGCTGATTACAGCTTGATCTCATGCCTCATGAATGTTGTCACCTATTCATCTTCGGACACCGTTCGCCCTCAGAGAATTTTTGCGCTTTATTACACTCTACTTTTGATGTCTGATCTCTCAACATTCTTTCATGTGCTATTCAGCAGCTCGGTACAAATGACATGAGTAGAAAAGAAAAGGGGGCTGGGATGTGAGTCTGGCCCTCCACCTGGCTGGTAGAGGAGGTTTAGCTTAAAGAAAAACCTGGTTCTCCTCAAAACGACAGCGCACTTCTCTTTTCCAGCTGCCTCTACCTCTACGCCCGCTCTGCTCACTTTAAAGAAAGTGGGTTTGTATAAAGATGTGGGCACGGCTTGTCACAGAGATATTGACCAGGCTGCACGCTGGGCCCCACTGCATCACTTATGGCTGAATATGACTGAATATGGGTGGGCATTTAAGATGAAGCGGGGGTGGTTGATTTTATCCTTCATACCTTTACTCAACATATACATACACATGAATGCTGTCATTCACAAAAATACACACATGCTCAGGCATGTAGGCATGCAAACGTAGTGCATAAACATACTCTCTCAGTGAAGGAGCTGGATGTGAATCAGGATGTGAACGAAGGGCAGCTCAACGCACACATTCCTTCTTGAACATGCTATCACTTCACATGTACTGTATACCTATCAGAGTGTACCGAGGGAGGGGGTTTATGCAACCATAGACAAGCAGGCGAGAAGTGAAATGGCGATCATCCAACAGGCTTGGGTACATAGCGATGCTTCATACCGGCCCTGCGCCTTTGCCCGACCCATGATTAATTTCACCTGTCAAAATGTTCACCCTGAGAATTCCCCGCTCAAACACTTGGCAGTCCAAATTTAATCTTTTACCACGTAAAAATACGAACTTATAAACACGAAGCTCAACGGGAGATACAACTTCATTAGCCTGATAAACCTGAGTTTGCTGTAACCAAACTCCACATGTAAAGCAAACCTTGCACAGAGGTTTTCTGTTCCTGAGGTGCAATACGCAAAGAAGAAATGCAGCTTACATCTGATTACAGTCCCCATGATTGTCGCATGGAAAATGATGTCAACAATAAGCCAGCGTGGAATGACAACAGATGATAGTGATTCCATGTAGCAACATTACTTATGCTGTAATCAGTGCTTTAGACTTCTAATTTGGATGTAGACTTTAGTCACAAAAAACAAATAAATAAATAAAAAGCACGACAAACTTGAGCTGAACTAACCGAATATAAAATGTGACTTACTGTTGCTGTAAAAGAACAAATGCTTAAGTTGGGTTTTTACCTGGTAAAATTCCACAACAATTTCATCTGCAACATCATTTAACGGTCAACTCTTGCTGGAGAAGACTTGTGATCTGATTTATATTAGACACTAACGCCCCATGACATCTTCCACAGAAGACGTAGAGAGAAGTGAGTTTGAAGCTTAGAGTGGTGGCCCTCCTGACTCCTGAATAATCTGAAAGTAGGAAAAGAGGTAGACCTAAGGTGGGCCATGGACTGTCCTGTGACAGCACCCACCTGTCACTCAAAGCAGCCTTTCCCTTAATTATGCATAACTTTAAGCCGCCTTAATACAATTTAAACAAACAAGTTATATACAATTTCACTTCCCATACAGTTGTCATGAATGAGGAAATTAGCTATCGAGATGGGAACAGTATTTTATACGTAGTTGTAAACATGTTTATTTCTGTTGTAAAGTTGGGCACTTTAACACAGGGGTCCAAGGGGACTGACTCGCTTTTAAGACAAGTCTCTAGTGGTCATTTGAGGAACTGCAGGTTTAAGTACCTCTATGTTGGCTTCATTTTTCCAGCCGTCGAGGTTGACATTTATCACTCACGTTAAAAGACTAACACTAAATTTTAAATGTCTTCTGTTTGATTTATGTTTTTTTTTCTCCCCAAGTCAGATATACAAACACACACAGGATGCAGTTTTTGTACACTGCGGGTAAGACTAAATGATGATACTCGGGAGAGGTGTAAAATAGCTGCGTGTTTGGCAAAGCACAGAGCTCAGCGCTAGACTTGCAGGAAGAAGAAATGTCACAGCTGCTCAAAGTAACAAGGGAACGGAGAAACAGCTTCTGGGTGTGAGTGTCTGTGTTTTATAGATAAAAGCTGAATTGAATTTAAATGTACCCCTCTCTTCTCCTTCAGCCCTAAAGATGAAAATCAAGGAGGTGAAAAAGGAGAAGGGGGACCGCAAGCTGATTGCAGCACAAAAGAAGAAGAAAGTTTTGAAGCAGGGTGTGCTGAGGAAGAAGGATCTGAAGAAACTGACCCTGTACATTAAGAATGGCGCCAACTGCCCATGCTCCCAGCTCGACAGTCTGGGCTCCAACTTCCTCATCATGGGCCGCAAAGTGGACCAGCAACTGCTGCTCATGTCCATTCACAAGTGGGACAAGAAGAGCAAAGAGCTCAAGTTCGCCATCAAGTACATGAAATCCCATCAGTGTCCCACCTACCACACCGTCTTCCAGTGACGTGGTTCGCTGCAGTGTTTGCAGAATCCACAATTGCTCCCCACATTCCACCTTATTCCATATAGATTCTAATTCTTATTACAATAATGTGTCCTTGAACTCCAGATCCCCTCAAAATCAGTTACCAGTCCTTTATATAGTCGAACATGAGGTTGAAGGGTGCTGAAGCTTTTGTTTTCTCAGTTTTAACATGAATAAGGTTGTCAAGGGCCCCCAGAAAGTAACAGTTTCAGATGGTATTTTTATTTCCCAAACATAAACAGACATGTACTTCATCTACTCCCTTCAACTCAATGAAAAACTCTTCAACAATCTTCTTCTGATGTAGTAAAACCAATCGCTTAAATCTTATCTGACAGCAACTTTATCAATTAGATAGCATTAAGACATGGAAACCCAAACAACTGTTAGAAGGCAAACATGCTCAGTGGTGTAATGATTATAAATAGAAATATTGAAAATGGAGGGAAAGACAAGGTTTGTTTCTGTGTAAAAAGAACTGAGAGAAGTGATAAAGTATCTGTGGGCTATGTGATGTGCCAACGCACACACTGGCACAGAGCTCCCAGGAACAACATCAAAGCAGAGCAATGTAGATGATCCACTTAACTGTATGTTTTAATAATGTAAAAGGTAGGTAATTCAGACGAATACTAGATGATTAGAAAACTGGGCTTTTTTCTTTTATCCCCGCTGGGAAAGAAGACCGATGGGATGAGAAAGACTGACAGACTGGATGATGCTTCCACTGACTTTGTACAGTTCCGTTTCTGTGGCCTGAAAGAGGGAAACTTGAATATTTTTTGCGAATTGGAGAGAGACGGAAGTAAAGGCATTGAAGACATCTTCCTGAAAACAAGTGGAGAATCAAAGAGAAAGAAAGAGAGAGAAAGAGACTCTGGACAGAACCAACCATGTTGGATTGAAATGTCTCTGGTACTCACTATTTTTTCACTATCACTCTTCAAATGTTTCTGTTTTTTGTACTTAAATTTTTAAATTTGCTTCAGTTAAACTTCTATGGTATGAAAGCAAAAATCATACATTACAGACATAGTACCTGAATACACTGTTGCCGTAGCAATGAAAGATGAAAATTTAACTTTGACAATATTTTCTAACCTATTAACCTGTAAGTAGTTCTGTTACTGAAATAGATCTTTGTTTTACAAAAAAAGTAAATGAATAAAATATATTTGAAATTTTTATAAAGAATACCTCTTTGAAATGTCCTTTTTCTTCATCGTTCAAGTCTACACTCATCCATTAAAAACGTTTCTTTTCTGACTTTATCATCTGGACAAAATGTTTGCTTGGTTGAGAAGTGATGATTAACGCACACCTGCTTTGGAAATGTAGTCTTCACTTGATTTCGAACAGTGAGAGGCAGTCTTCTGTGCCTGCTTCATGGTTTAATCTTTCATTTAATAAACACAAATTCTTCAGCACAAGATCACACCATTCTGACTAACCAACAAAATCAACCCAGGGAAAAAAGGAAAATTTGCTGCTTTTTCATTTATTACCTCAGTTGCCCAAACATCCATCCATCCATCCATCTACAGCCGCTTTAGCCTGTGGGGAGTAGCAGGGGGCTGGAGCCTAACACAGTTGACATTGGGCATGAAGCTGGGTACACCATAGACAGGTTGCCAGTCCATTACAGGGTCAACAAAAAAGATACAGACATCCACACATACTCAAACACTCATATCTCCAATTCAGAATCACCAATCAGCCTACCATGCATGTCTTCTGAAGGCGGGAGGAAGCTGAAGCAGCCACAGAAAACTCCCTCAGGCACAGGGAGCACATGCAAAATCATTGCAAACAAAAAGTCCTCAACTGACAAACAAGTTCTAACCCAAAACCTTTTTCGGTGAGAGGACAGTACTAATTACTGCACAACTGTACCACCTTGTTTCTGAAATGAAACAACCACTGCTGTACCCTAATCAAAATTTTGTTCATTTAATTTTTGCCCTCATATAATATCTGGCTGACATTTGGATTGGTTTAAATAATGAGCCAGTCAGCACACGTTTCTGTTTACATCAAACTCATTGAACCTTATTCTTCATTTCAGTTTAAACAAAACAGTTTAAAACAAGTTAAATGGAATCATCATTGTCTGGACCACCTCTGCGGTGATGAGGGGAATGCGGAGAGAGACCTATCCATAAATTTTATGGCTGCTTACAGTAACTTTATCACTCCTGTCAGTGTGCCATTCACAGTGGTTGTGGCTAACGTTACGTCTTTTACACACTAGAGTCGCTCACTTCCAAGACCATTGGCACTAACCTACACTCAGGTTATCCATGAGGCCCCGTTCCTTTAAGGGAAAAACTTAGTCAGTACCAAGAGTATCAGAACACCTCAGGTTTCAGCGTCTCTCATTAATTAGCCAGAGGCGTAACGCATGTTGTCATGTGGACAAACTAAAGCTCAACTCAAAGAATCTGGGTCAAATCAGGGACCTTCGACTGATGTCTCGAAGCATCACTTTTAAGGAGGCAGCCCAAGAAAAAGTTCTTTTTGCGTTGTTCTGATGTGATGATTTGACAATAAGTACAATTTTAGTCTATTAAATTACTTTAAATACGTTATAATTACAAAATTAGGGCATTACACAGACCAAATCTATGTGGCAGCTTTTCTAGAAAGGACGAGGGCACATATAGCATTGTGAGAGTACACATGGCCGGCCTTGTGGTGAGAGGTGAAACTTTATTTATGCTCTGTGCAATGCCAGAATCTTCTAGATCCCTCCTGGTCCGTCAGCTTTACATAAAGCTTGGGCTACAAAACTAACAGTATTTAATGCTAAAGACTAAAGGGCTGACGCAGAGTGACAGCGGGCTGCAATGTAACCGACCAACTTTATCAAAACCATTCACGGCTTAATCACTCAAGACACACACTAAAGTAAATCACTGCAATAAAAAGATTTGGCATCTTTGTTCTCCAGAACGCAAGATGGATCAACTGTGACACTCTACAATGTTTACTGTCTTCCGCCCATATTTCCCGGAATGTGGAGACTTTTGGAGGCTGTTTGAAGCGTGAACGCCAGTTGAGCGGTGACCTATTTCCAAGCGATTGTGGAGATAGCGCACAGGCTCTCGACTTTGGAATGACAGAAAGGAGGGGACAGGCGTAATGGGTAGAAATGTGTTGGACAGGACTGCCTTTATTGAAAACTCCTACGAATTCCGTGAGCGATGAAAAACGATAAACACTGAGCTAGAAGTACAAATGGCATAGAGTGGAAGAGGCCTTTGTTGGAAGGTGTTGACCCTTCCTTTAGAAGTGAATCGGGACACATGCTGTAGATAACGTGTACATTAAAGGAAAATGATGAGCAGCTTTCATTAAGCGAGACGTGGTGAGTCAAAGAGGGGGAAGCCAAAGAAGAGGGAAGGTGAAAAAGGAGACGGGGGAGAAACTTGGCTGGATCCCACAGACACACATCAGCACCTCCTCAAAGGTCACTTGTGTAGTTAATAAGGGCCTGATGAGGGACCAGCAACACACATTAAAACACATACATGCACTCGAAAGACACACGTGTTGGGACTAATGTCCCTACAAGCTCTAATTATCTCGCTTCCCTTCAATACGACCTTAATTTAAACAATGAACAACAATGAATTTCATCAAACATGCAGTACATGAAGTAGAACTGGTGACAGAGAAAGTAGTGGAAAACGGAGATCACCACACACACACACCCACACACACACACACACACACACACAGACCAACACACACAGACTAACACACACAGTGTAGAAGAATGGCCACATTGTCTGGTTTTATTGCAGTGTGCTGATAAGCAGCACCTTTTTCACAGTTGAATAGTGGTTGTCTGTCAAGCTGTCACCTGACACACACACACACACACACATACACACACACACACCTACACACACACACACGGGACGGTCACTCACACATCCTTAGCTCCACTGTGCATTCGAATAGTTAATGCTGTAATTTGCTTTTTTTATTGAACATACTCTCCCTCATCCACCCACTTGTTCTGTTCAGGCTGGTGATTTTTGACATTTTCCGTCATTTCTTTTGACACAACCCAGAGAGATGGGTGTGATCCACTTACAACCGCTTTGTGCCAAAATTGACAAACTATGTTTCTTGTGCGATAAAGTTCATTTGGGAAATGAGCTAATAAAGCCTGAATGTATGTGCTTAAAATCAGATTTATGGTGCATTCTAACACACACCAAGAAACCAAATGCTGTTCTTGATACTAATCTTAAATCTCTGTATCACTTCAATTTTATTTGATATCTGTGTAAGTTATGGACAATAAAAGAACAAATGTCCACTGATCCAATATTCAATATTAGATTTCATTCAGGATGGGTGGAGAGAGCATTACAGAGACTTTTGTTCTTTGATTCTGGGCAGCTGATTAAAAACATTTAATGCTGATGCTGTGAACTTTTAAGTCGTGCACATTGCCAAAAAAAACAAAAACGTTTTGATGTAAAGAAGAGGCAATGAAGAGCTGAAATTTAGTTTTATTATAGGCACAAGTCAAATACAATGTTACTTATGTGGACAAGTTGGAAATAATCCTAAAATTTGTTTAGATTCTGAAACTTCTTTTAACCAAAACATTAGCCAGACATGAACACCCACTCTCATGCCAGTGAGCGCATGAACACACACGCAGGCGAGCTCATACGCACGTTAATCAGATTTGACTAGTCCACCTCAACAGAAAGAACCCATTATATCAGGTTCTGGGGAGTCAGAAGAATTTCTATTAGTTGCAGCTTGCCTCTCTCTACCCACCACACAAGGTACCATTAAAACAGCATTAGACAGTAAGCCAACATCCTTCTGGTCTGAACCACCAGACCACCTGTCAGCAGGAAGGGAGGACACAGAGTTGTACTTTCATTTAGAAGAAGGTGAGCGAGTAAGGATGGAAACAGCAGCACATGGACAGAAGGACTGTGCTGGCTCCGAGCCTTGGCCTGCTTTGCTCAGTGAAATGCAATAAAGATGTTGCAGGCTGTTGTGTGCTTTTTTTTGTGAGTGTGTTTGTGCGGGTCGGGGAATTATTTTCTCCATATAATAAAGTCAGAGAATTTTTCTACGTGTGCCACACACTAAATTACGAACTGTTTTCCATTCTGTTTTCCATGCTCAAGCTAGAACAGCAGTTTCACCTTTTTTGAAACTGGTGCTTTAGCTTTTCTCACATGTAATAAATCTGACTGATAAAGAAGATTATTTCAATAATGTAATTTCTAAACTGCTGCAATGTGTCTGAACAAGCCTGAACATCTGACAGTGCATGTGGAATATGAAATCACTGCTTTTCAGTGACTGTGCATAATGTGCTGCTCTCGGTGACACGCTCACATTGACGCTAATGTGCCATTTTATATTTTGTTCAGTGATTTCATGCTGGGGAATGTGTGAGTGAGTGAGTATGTGAGTTCCTGTCTACTGACTCTGTCTCCACCCTTGCTCCATCCACCTCTGGCCCAGGACCTGGAAATTGATTCATGTCTGCTGTCATTGAGGATATTTGAGTCCCTTAAAAATGTGGTGAGAACTGGAGAACAGCTACCCTGTCCTGAAGGTTTTCTACATCACGGTAACACCTAAATGCGTCTTAGTCTTGCATAGTCAGACTATTCTGCAACACACAATATTGTCCTTGTTTGTATTTGTTTGTTTTTTTTACTAATCACAATCAAATTGGGCGGAGTTAAGCCCAGGATGCAGCAACAGTGTCCCTGTCGGTGGGAATTGTTTCGGTAGAACATTTATACACAGGAAGGTCAACGCTATCATTAAAATGGCTAAATTGCCTTGAAAAATCAAGTACGGCTACTTTAAAGCAGATCTTCGGCAAAATCTGAAATTTTCAGTGCATAGTTTGGAGATTGTTGTTGTTACGAGGGGAAAGCCATGTAAAATGGTCTACATCTGGTGATTTAAACTACAGGGGTCTCAATCACGAATAGATCATGAAAACAGTCTTGTAACTTTATTTATGTTTTCTACACAAGCCAAAGGTATTTTGTTTCCCTCTTCATATCTGCTCATTATATCCTATACATCTATATAGTTGTGGGTAATATTATGAAATCAGCCTAAAAAGGATGTCAGACTTTATCTACATATGGTCTTTAAAGGTAAAGTTAGCATTGCTAATCCAGTCTGTTCTG